GAGAGAATAAGAAGAATACGTTCAAAATTGGAGTGTACGGATTTCTTAAAACAAAAACGAAATTTTACGATGGGAGGAGATGGTTTTTCTTGTAGTTTGTAGTTTGTGTACGGTTACGCTGGAGATTCGTTGATCAGAAATCTTTGAAGCGAAAGTTTGACTGTTTCAGAAGGTGAATAAATCCACAACAGTAGTAAAAGCCTCCAATGGAATTTCAGTTGTATCTTCATGGTATGCCTCTAAAACATTTCATTTTAAGCAAAGATATCAAAAATTGGTGTACTGATAAAAGGTTTATCACAATTTCAAAATCTATTGCCAGTTGACAACATTTTAATAACTTCCAGAGGAACCGAAATAAATTGGCTCAAAGTAGAAAACTAAGGGGGTCTTTCTATTAGAGTGCTTACGGTAATACTGAACTGTCAGTCCGTAACTTCTTGTTGGATGTTTTGAGCAATTTGGCTTCTTGGGCAGATTGGTCAGAAATTACCCAATAACGGCTTTATAACGGACCATGGTCAGATTATCACAGATTTTTTTCAGATGACTATTCGTGATACGGTGGAGTTCAGTATTCCAGAAGCTGACAATTTTTTTTGGTTCAGGAATCCAGGAATTTTTTGTATTCTTTAGTGCAGTAAGTCCAGTTTTTGTATTCTTTAGTCCTTTAGTCCAGTTTTTTGTATTCTTTTTTACTAGGAAAGGCCCCAACTCGGGTGTGGCGATACGGGTGATGACCTATATCATCTGAAAGCTGACATTTTCTTGTTTTCAAATCTGTTTTCAAAAAGTGCATTGTCGCGGTAGTTTTCGAGAAAATTGGGTCAAAAGTTTTGAAAAACGACGTCTATTTTTAGTTTCATTTTCCTTCCTCGCGTATATAAGTTTTTTAGCGTAGAAAGAATGTCGAAGCGTGGTCAAATGGTTAGTGGGGAAGAATCTGAAGCGGGTACTCCCTGGTTCGACTCCCTCGAGCTGCTAAACTTTTTTTGAATTTTTTCTTCGTTTTTTTCCGGTGACTGTATCTGACTTCTAGGTGATTCTATATGGTTCCGTATACTTGGAATGTTTATCTATTATTTTCGAAACTTTTTGCTTTCATCTATTTTTCCACAATTTTCAAAGTATTGCGATCCATTGAAGATTCTAGACAAACCGCATATTTTTGATTTTGCTCAAACTATTGTCATGGGTCTTTTTGGGCATGCTGATTACAGAACTAAAGTCAGTTTTTCCACCCCGGCCTTGTGAAGAAAATTATGAGCTATAAAAGTGACTACAGTACTAATTTCTCATTTTTGGAGTGAGTTTCTGAAGGAGTTTTTGACTTTTTTTTGGCTATATTTAAATGTTATCCGTATTTGGTATGGTTTTCTACAATCTGAAGAGGTTTTCTCTTTTTTTTTCGGAAAAAAATTTAGGGCAGTTGAGTGAGAGTTTTTGTAGTTTTAAAAATGGGGAGACATGAAAATAAGGCTCCGGGACATTTCGAAAGGGCGCGCTTTCGAACTGACCCACAACCGACAAACTACTGTTCCCAAAATTCCGTTCAAATATGCCCCTCGAGGAGTTGAACTTGTGCGGGCGAGGATTGAGGGTGCGGCGCCGCTACCGACTGAGCCACGCGGACAAAGAGAAACCGCCCGCCCGATTGCATACATAAAAGCGAGGACGACAGCTGTAAGCAGAGTGACATTAAGCGTTGTACACCGTGACGGTAGAATGCA